AGAGTGAAAAGCAAGCCATGAGGTCTGTGAACCTGCAAGACAAGATTGTGTCAAGGCACAGATGTGGGGAAGGATACAAGAAAATGTCTGCAGCACTGAAAGTGCCCAAGAGCACGGTAGCCTCCTTCATCCTCAAATGGAAGAAGTTTGAAGCGAAGAACAGTCTTTCAAAGATCTGCCTGCCTAGCCAAACTAAGCAATCGAGAACAAAGGGCCTTGGTCAGACAGGTAACCAAGAACCCAATGGTCACTATGAGTGAGATCCAGAGCTCCATTGTGCTCAGTATCTCAGGGTTACATCTCAACACAAGACAACCACCAAAGCATACCGCCAAGAAAACACAGTCCTGGAGTGGCCCAGCCAGCATCCAGACCTGAGCCCAACAGAGCATCTCTGGAGAGATCTGTAAATGGCCATGCACAGACACTCCCCATCCAATGCCATCCATGCCAAGAGGAGAAGTAGAAAGTTCCAAAAGAAACGTGTGCCACGATTGTAGGATCATTTCCATGAAGATGGGTGTTATTGCTGCTGAGGGTGCTTCAACCAAGTACCAAGTGAAGGGTCTGAATACTTATCTAAATGGGATATTTCAGTCTTTTATTTTTAATAAATGTACAAACACAACCTGTTTTTGCTTTTTCACTGTGAACATTGATGAGGAAAAAAAATGATTTAATTAATTTAAGATGAAACTTATAAGGGTCTGAAAACTTTCCATATGCAAAATCACATATATTGTCTCCATTTAAAGAGATAATACAGATACTTAATAAATAAGCAGCGAAAACCACACGATTTGGCTTGTGAAAATGTAATAGAAAACCTAGTAAAGATTTATGTTTCCTAATCAAAGGTAGCTCTGTCTTTCCCAGCTGCTGCCTGTTCAGGAGCTTTATGCAGGGGAAGGGGAACAGGAAGTAAAAACAGATGGATTTGGCACCTGACTGTCAATGTGCAACACATCCTAACAATCAACTCATATGTATATTATGTACCACAGCAAACTGATAACATTTCAACTTAAATGAAAATACACCTGTTTCTCGTATTTGTTAAAAGGAAAACAAGGAAAACAAGGAAAACAAAGTGCATAAACCACAACATAACACAGGAAGAATCCAGTCTAGCCTGAAAAATCTTGCATGTAGCTTCGTGTGTCTCTTTGCCTGGACATGTTATAATGACCAGGAGAGGCAGCACAGCAGACATCACCCTGTAATGCACAGACAAGTTTCTGAGTGGACCAGTCTTAGTTGCTTATTCATACTCCACTTACCATAACACCACCCTGCCTAACTAAGTCTGCAGTGCCTCAGCACCTTCAGTAGGGCTTGCTGTCATTCTTTGAGCGCTTCAGCTGCACCTTCAGCCTCTTCATACCGATCTGGAAGCCATTCATCGATTGGATGGCTGCCTGTGATGACACAGGGTTGTCATAGCTCACAAAGCCTGAAGGAGAAATACAGACACATTTAGAATGGCAACTGAGGACAGCTTAAAATAGTCCCTCAAGGAATTCACAATCCTGGCAACAACAAGAATTATGGCGAATAAAACCCCACATTGTCCACATGAGCTTGAAATTCTGTCCAAACAACAACCAAGAATAGGGTATCAGAAGAATGCTAAAATTATTATTTATTTTCCCGTTTTTGTGTCAAAGTGACTCACGAGGACAACAAGACCAATGAATTTGGTCCATTGTTGAGGGAGCCACATTGTGCCAAAAACAAACTCAGCGCAATGTCTAAGACCCTTCACCTATTTGCAAATCTCTGTCCATCTGTGCACCATGCTTGGCACCAAAATGGGAAATGGGTACAGCCAATTTCAAGAATATACCAAACTTTCAGAGTGCTGCTCATGTTGGTTGTTGCACTGCCATGACAACAGGGCCCTAAAACCGTTGAAGCTGCTGCACAGACAACTACAATCATTTCAACACAGCACTGCAAGATCTTGGGGACACATATTCAAATATTTCACTTATTATAAGAAGACGTATGTACATTAGTTTGCATGAACTCACCAAAACACTTGCTGAGATTTGTCTGTTTGTCAATGAAGACTTTAGCAGAGATGACATTTCCAAAGGGCATAAACATCTGGAGCAGGTCCTGGTCTCCAAACTCCTGGGGCAGGTGGTAAATGAACAGGTTGGCACCCTCTGGACCTGCCAATAAACAAGCCCCTTTTACCAGTCATACAAACATTAAACATAGTGATATCTTCACAATTTCAACTATTTCTGACACAATGAATTAATCCATCCCTCCAAAATATGATCATGATCAAATTACGTCCTCAACAAATGCAATAACAGCTCTATCATATGGATCATGTGGTATAAAAACAATATCAATGTGGAAATGTGTCAACCAATTAATAAACTGTGGGAATACATTATTGTCCCATGACTGGTAAACTGAGGACATGGATGGCTAAATAGATTCAGAAGAGGAGCGACACCATTATGGTACAGTTTAGAGTTGTGTTGCTGACATTTTTCATTTAGTTTTTTTTACATTTAATAGACCAAAACGATTAATTGATTAATCTAGAAAATAATTGTCAGATTAAGGTGGTAACTGCTGGTCAACATAGTGCTTATGAGCTGCTATCACATTTCATTCTCGTTTCATTATCTGACTACAGTCAATAAAGGAACATCTTATCTTAGTAGAAGTGGAATATTCACAAAATATGTAAATGAAAACAACTTCACATGAATTTGGTTGCATTAAAACACAGTACAGGTGGTCACACAGACCAGGAAGGAACTTAATCCCTCCATCCCCCCACCTTAAACATATAAAAATGGTCAGAAGCAAATTAAATACACTATTAAAAATAATTTTAAGGAATAAGCAGTAAATAAAAAGTCGTTTGTTTACATTTGCAAGTGAATTTCCCAATTCAAACACATTTTTCAACATCTAGTAGTTTATATCAGGCGTGGCTGAGGTCACAAAGTTGAACTTGAATGCAAATGGTCTGCCAATGACAATTTCCACATTTACAATTGCTTCCACCACATGACCCCTGGGGGGCTCTAAAGTATCATATACGACATTAAGTGTAAAGAAAATAAACAAATAAATAAAATGATTGCTAACATTAACACACAAACAAGCCTTCTGTTATGGACTTGAGCTTGTTTTAAAGTGGAGCTGATGACATGATTATATCAGAAGCCATGTCAGAGAGAAGGTGGTGACGTCTTACCGGTGCTGCGACTGTCGCTGGCTGATGCAGCAGATTTAAAACAAGACAGAATCCTTAGTGGAAGGTCAGGTCAACACATAGCACACATATCTACCAAGCTGCCCACAACAGTACTTTAAACCAAGTGTCACAATATACTGAGGAACTTCCCAAAAGTATATGCTTGCACCCTGCTGTTACCGTTAGCTTTTTTTTTATCTGCAAAGGGAGTCTATGGCAGCCTATTGAACAGGCCAGTTCATATGAAAATAGGCATATTAGGAGAAGGAATCTAAACTCCAACAAGTTTTTATTTGCTCATTCTGAATCCAAATTGGATTGAAGATAGAAATATTTTGAGGCATGCTCATACAGCAGTTATAAAAGTAAAGTAAATATCCCCCAGCTACTCCTCCTTGACTACCTCTCCAGTGCCTTCATCTGTACTCTCTACCATCCCCCATACCATCTCTTTTTCATACTCCCAGCCAACAGGACCCACCTTCCTTTTGGCTGCCTGCTGCTGAGACACTCTGCTGGGACAGCAGGCTCTGGTTGTACAGGCTAGGGAGGGCAGCAGCGGCGTACTGCTGGATGCCCGAGTAGGCCTGGCTCAGTGCCTCCATGGTGTTTCCTGAGCCATTAGACAGGCCTCCAGAACCCAGGCTGCCATTCAGTGCTGCCATGCCTGCAACAGAGGTACAAGGAAACAAGACTATTATTATTACATGGGTAAAAACACAAAGCTCTTATCATTCAAAGTGATGTTGAGTTCAATATAATAACAGTCAAAAAGTAAAGTAACTCAGTAAGTTAGTAAGTAATTATAAGTGTCACTCACTATGTATTTAAAGACAATGGCCAATTAAAGGCGTTAATAACAATAATAAACTTCATTTATAAAGAAGATTTCAAGATTCTCAAAGATGCTTTACATGATGAATTTGATATAAGACATAACTGACCCTTCCTAAACCCCACCCCTTTGGAACCTCAGTCAACATAACCTTTCCTGTACATAGATGTATATAGTGACATCTAAAGTTAGCTAATGTTAGGAAATGCTAATTAACTATCTACCTAATCTACATCAGTTGTTAGCTCGCTAGTTACATCTGATAGCTACTGTAAGCAAAACTAACTAACTTGCTAACATTAGCTATCAGATGTAGCTAGCGGGCTAACAACTGATGTAGATTAAGATAAGATAACATGTTGCTAACATTAATTAACTTAATATGTGACTATACAGGCGCAAGGTATAACTTCTGAATAAATGACTTACAAAATAATACCTAATAATAACTGGGATTTAATTACAGTACATCAAGCGCTCTCACAGCATATTAAACATTCCCTGCACCATAGCAGTACACTGTGGGAAATCAAATCAGATTCAGTAGAAGCAGCGATGATGTGACAACTGTATTCTTACAATGACACAATTACAAACACCTGGAGGAGGTTTGAGGGAGGCATTACTTTTGTCTTCAGAGTGGTAGGCTCGGCTTCTTGCTGTCATACTGGCAGCATAAAAATATGAGGAACCAAGTGCAGCAATATGTAGGCAGGCTTAAATCTTGAAGACAAAGATTTATATCAAGCGGGTTCAGTACCTGCCAGGGAGCCCATGTTGAGGCCAGCTCCAGAACCAGCAGCCAGAGACTGCAGAGCCCCCAAAGAAGCCATGGGGTTCACTGATGAGTTGCTGCTGGAAGTGGGGGAGGAGCCTGCTCGGGAAATATATTCACTATTAATGTTATAATAAACACAACTGGGAAATATTAGATAAGTCTGTGTTACAGTGCTACAGTCTGTGCTCAGCAATGTCAACATTCTCTTGGTTTTGACTTTAAAAAAACCCTACAATTTCATAATGTGTCTATTCAAAATAAATAAAAATAGGCTATGTTACCATAGCACTATTGCGTGTTCCTTAGCTATGCAACAGTACTGTTGTAATGTGTTTTACCTGAGCTTGTTAGTGCACTTAGTGGGCTACTAGATGTTGTCATGGCGCTGGAGCCTGTGGCTGTGGCCTGTGTGGCAGTTGCTGCTGCTGCTAAAGCAGCCAGGTTCTGCATGGCATTAAGACCTGACAGACACACACACTTCAGTTAAGTTCAAGACTCCACCCACCCCTTCCTCTGACCACTATTGTATATAAAAACAATATATATGCTCATGTTCTCTACAGGATAGTCAAATCTAATCTTACATATTGGCATAATATTTCAAGGTGGAATGTTAAAGCGTATGTGTGTGTGTGTGTGTGTGTGTACCTGAAACAGGGTGCAGGTTGTTGAGTGCATTCCCCGTTGAGGCTGACTGCTGCAGCAACTGTAGGTAGAGCTAAAGCCAGGAGGAGATATAGGAACCATAATGTTAAATGGAAGTGACAGTTAAATTTAAACAGGTGAATTATTTTATCACTAGACTAATCATGTAATGATTGCTTTGCATAAACACAGATAGAGGCCCTATAAACACACACTCACTGCTAGGTACTGTGGCCCCAGGCTGTTGAGCCCAGTTAGATTTCCCCACATGGAAGCAGCACTGAGTTGTTGCATCTGCTGCTGCAGCTGTTGGGCCATGCGCTTCTGCTCCTTGTCCTTCTGAGTGTCTGCAAACTTCACCACGATGGGCGATGAACAGCCCTAAACACAGGCACAGGAAATCTTTTGTACTCTGACAGCTTAATGTACGGATATAAATACAGATTAAAACATCAATAACTTGAAACTTAAGTGCAAGTCAAATAACTGAAATGACTTTAAAAAGCTCTGTTAGTTTAAATGAGGATAAACTGTTTTTCTTGGTAATATATATAGTGGAGACAATATAAGTAACCAATTTTGAAATTGAAACTGTTACAACATCACATATTGTTTTTAGTGTGAAGCTGAACTTCACCTCCATGGTCTGGGACTGGTGCATGGACTTGATGGCTGACTGGGCCATTTGTCTAGCTGTGAATGTCACAAATGCACAACCTGAAAGTGAGAAACACAATGTATCATGATTCATACAGACTGTTCTTTTAAAAAAGGCTATTTTGTCAACATCTCAGTGTCTTTATCAAAGTATGAACTTGGAGAAGAATGTATATTGTTTATATGTTTTAGCTGTTTAGTGTCTGATCTGTTTGTTACAGGATTAGACTGAGGCTGTTTTTATTGATCTCACTACATTCTTTCTCTGTGCTCTAAAGCATATACCATTAAATCCCATGCTATTAAGGAACAGAATAAATCCATTCAGTGAATCACTGCACAGTATTCAAGTCACATGACACAAGATGCAGCAATTATGTTCAGCCAGAGGTGTGCTGTCTGAAGCGAATTTCAGTGTATTTCTAGCTCAAAGCCATTCTTAAAGATGGCTAATTTGGTAAAAAAAAAAAAAAAATTCCCCCTGGGATTATTAAAGTATTTCTGATTCTGATTCTGAAAGTTGTGAAGTTATGTTCTTCAGGGCGTAAAAAGAAGAAGGACATAAACCATATTCACATAATGTGGCAAAAAAAGTAGCGGTGAGGGAAAAGTAAATGGCATTGCTTGTAAACACAATGTTGAGAAAGTCTGTCAGGTGTTTTAACCACTGAACCACTGAAATGTAGATGCCGCGGTCACCATATTGGGGAGGTCAAGATCCACCTGTTAACAATACTGAGAGATTTATATGAGAAATTTAACCTGACACTGGTTACTTGTAGGAATTAATTCAGTCACCGGGGACGTATCTAATCAGCTCTATGCCTAAATTCACCACTTGGAAAAGTGCTGCAGTATAAAATGAAAACAATGAGTAAACATATACTACTGTGTGGGAGTTGGTGCATAAAGTATCAATACATGGTAGGCTACAAATTACTGTCTAACAGGCTAGCAAAAACACAAAAACAAGCAACCAGGTGGCTTCATAACAATGAATTAATTGTATAAATATGTATAGAAATCAAATTTTTTTTTTAAAAACCAAACCTAAAATTCGAAATAATTTACACTTGATTTTACGTTCATACATTACAGCCTGCATGTCCCAGTGGAAGTTATGGCTATTAATAAGGTATATTTTTTGGCATAGAACTGATAAGATCCACCCCTAGTAATTGAATTAATTCCTGTATCAGCTTTAGTTTCTCACGTTTTTAACAAACCAAGTTTCATGAAAATCAGATCAGAATTAAGCAAGTTACAGTTGATTTTGTAGTGACGTCTGTATGTCTCAGTGTTGTTAACTAGAGGATCTTGACCTCCGCAACATGGCTACCACGTAGACGTATAGCAGTGGATGAAATAAAATGATTCTTGATTATTCTTCAGTGTATAAAGTAAAATAAGATTCCACACTGTTTTACATGCATATCATGCTAGTTGAACGTAGGAGACCTAAAGTGTATAAACCAGCAAAACATAAAGCAAGGGATCTGAAGGTAAAGTAAAAAGAAAATAATTCATTAATACTTTTTTCTTTTTCTGTTTTTGGTCCCTACCAACTGGTTCATTAGCTGCTAAATGTGTCCATCTGCCGTTTGTTGCTGGGCAGTGGGTTTTTAGAACTTATTCTCTGTGGACAAGAAACAACACTTTGCAAGTGGTGAGAGACAGCTAAACAATGAGCTGAAACTCGCTATAAAGCCGAGGGGGGCTGCCAGTTAGGTGGAAATGTCTTCATCACCACAAGCAACACATAGTCACACTGTTCTCACATGGTCATTTGATACTTATTTAATCTATTTAAAAGGCATATTGATTATTTGGCTGCACCTTGTCTTTTGTGTGTATGCCTCTGTATAAGAACATTACATTCCTTACCACGACTGAGTCCGTCAGGGCCTCTGAGTATCCGACACTCCTCTATCTGTCCGTACGGTGAGAACATCAGTCGGATGTCGTTCTCGTTACATTTCTTGGAGATCATTCCAATAAACAGCTTCCTGTCTTCCACTGCTGTATTCAACACGACACAACATCAAACACACCTGCTCTGTGTCAAGGTAAATGGTGCAATACAACATTCAACATGTACTTATGTTTAACTATGGCTGTTTTGCAACTTATGTTATCAAGAGGCATGAGTTGAGTTTAGGACAGTATCTTCTAACAGCTGAGCTGTCTGCTGCTTAAAGGACAGCTTTGCTGTAATCGTTCCTCCTGTTCATTCTGGCCAAAAACAGATCTCTCCACACAGTAATATGATTCCACATAGCAGTTCTCCTTCTGGGTAAAAAGATATCCACTTGATCTGATTAACTCAGATTGCTGACACCTCATATCAGCTTTAGATACATTTTTATACAGCGAGGACTGTGGATTTTGTCTCTATCACTTACATTGAAAGTGCTTTATGAAGGGATCTTTTAGTGGTCAGTATCGACAGGATGAATTATTACAGGAAACAGGAAGTTTTGTTTTTTGACAGAGTTTAGACATTTAGACAAATGCTTAACTTATACTTTAACAACAAGGATATTGTTGAGGTTGTTTTCTCAGCTGGATGCATACATGTGGACACATTTGAAAAGACCAGTCTTACAACACAGAGTGGATGAGAAAAACAGAACTTTTGAGATTTAAAAGAAAAAGAAAGAGGAAACAACTTCTTTGTCTGACAGCACGAGGAAGGAATCCCACTTCATAGATAAACAGTGTTTTCTGATTTATTCACAATATGGACACAGCTCAGACTCTCAACTCTACTCTACAGAGTTGTCTGCTAATATCAAAGGACAGAGAAGACTTGAGCTGCAACGATTAGTCAATTAAGCAATTAGTTGTCAACCATTAAAATGATTAATCGATTTGATCAAAATTGTTGGAGATTAAATGTCCAAATTCTCTGATTTCAGCTTCTCAAATGTGAATATTTTCTGATGTCTTTAGTCCTCTATGACAGCAAAATGAATATAACAAATTTTGAGGACGTCAATTTGGGCTTTGGGAAAAAGTCATCAACATTCTTCACCTTTTTCTGACATTTAAAGGACCGAACAATTTTCGATTAACTGAGAAAACGATGAACAGATTAATCGATAATGAAAACAATTGTTAGTTGCAGCCCTAGAGAAAACAGATGGGAATGCTAGAAAATCCTTACCATTGTTTTTCTCACTGTCAGCTGGCTTCATCTGGATTGGATGGTGCATCTGAACAAGGCAACAAATAACACATTAAAATTCATAACATTGAAATATGCCCAACGGTCAACTATCCAAATATTCAGGTCTAGCCCTTAAAAACAGATGACTTGGATGGTTGTTGTAACTCCATGACTACTGCTCTGGAGAAATGAACAGCACAATATACCAAAAGCATGAAATACAAATAAAAGAATGCAACTCTACCATGGTTAAATAATGAAATACATCATTATCTTCTAAACTCAATACGGATCATTTGATCTACAAAAGTCTAAGACATAAAAGAGTCCTGGAATTACGCAAAGCAAAAACCTTGGCTTTAACACAACCTATAGAAACACCATAGGCCATTTATGATTCATAAAATCAGTAGAAGAATTGACATAGAACTGCAGAAGCTATAAGGAAATTATTATATTCTAAGGAAATGTATAATTTGTTTCCCTATATTACACAACTATCACCCTATTTCTATTCTTCCTGTCCTGTCTGAGGCACTTGAGAAAGTGGAGCCAGCACAGCTAGTCGACCACCTCAAGCCCAATCAACTCTTGTAACAATCTGGTTTTAGATCAAAATATTCCACAGAAACTGTTAAAAATAGTCATTTTGTTGAAAATGTAAAGCCTCCCTTGGACAGGAGTACAGTTAGTTTGACACTGACAACCATGGCATTCTCCTCGTCTACATTCACTTTTTAAACAAGCCGTTGACTGGTCGTATCGTCAAACTAGAGCAGTGGTTCCACACCTTTTTCCTTAAAGGGGAACTTGGCAA